AGCATGGAAGAGCTCAAAAAGTATTTTGAAGATAAAATAAGAGAAGTAGAGGACAAATTAGGAAGAGAAATGAGAGTGATGCAAGAAAATCATGAGAAAAGAGTCAACATCTTGGTAAAGGAGACCAAAAAAAATTGAAGAAAATAACATCTTAAAAAACAGACTAGACCAAATGGTAAAAGAGGTCCAAAAAGACAACGAGAAGAAGAATGCCTTAAAAAGCAGAATTGGCCAGATGGAAAAAGGCACAAAAATTCACTGGAAAAAAAAGGCTCCTTAAAAAGTAGAATTGGCCAAATGGAAAAGGAGACACAAAAGTTCAGTGAAGAAAATAAAATTAGAATTGAGCAAATGGAAGCTAATGACTTTATGAGAAATCAAGAAACAATAAAACAAAACCAAAAGAATGAAAAAATAGAAGGCAGTGTGAAATATCTTGTTGAAAAAACAACTGACCTGGAAAACTGATCCAGGAGATAAAAATTAATTGGGCTACCTGAAAGTCATGATCAAAAAAAGAGCCTAGACATCATCTTTCAAGAAATTATCAAGGAAAATTTCCCTGATATTCTCAAACCAGAAGGTAAAATAAAAATTGAAAGAATCACCGATCACCTCCTAAAAGAAATCCTCAAAAAGCTCCCATGAATATTACAGCCAAATTCCAGAGTTCCCAGGTCAAGGAGAAAATATTGCAAGCAGCCAGAAAGAAACAATTCAAGTATGGTGGAGTCACAGTCAGGTTGGTACAAGATTTAGCTGCTTCTACATTAAAGGATTGGAGGGCCTGGAATGTAATATTCCAGAGGGCAAAGGAGCTGTGATTACAACCAAGAATCACCTACCCAGCAAAACTGAGAATAATCCTTCAGGGGAAAAATGGACATTCAATGAAATAGAGGACTTTCAAGCATTCTTGATGAAAAGACCAGAGCTGAATAGAAAATTTGACTTTCAAATAAAAGACTCAAGAGAAGCATAAAAAGGTAAGCAGGAAAGGGAAATTATAAGGGACTTAAAAAGTTTAAACAGTTTACAGTCCTGCATGGAAAGATGATACTTGTAACTCATAAGAACTTTCTCATTATTAGGGCAGTTAGGCGGATATATATATATATATATATATATATATATATATATATATATATATATATATATAGGCACAGGTGTGAGTTGAATATGAAGGGTTGATATCTTAATAAAATTAAGGGGTAAGAGGGAAATGTACTGAGAGAAAGGGAAAGAGAAAGGGAGAGGTAGAATGGGGTAAATTATATAAAAGAGGCAAGAAAAAGCTTTTACAGTAGAGGGGAGGAGGGGGAAGGTAGAGGGGAGTGAGTGAACCTTACTCTCATCAGAATTGGCTCAAAGAGGAAATAAAATACACACTCAACTGGATATAGAAATCTTTCTTACTCTACAGGAAAGAATGAGGGGATGGGAATAAGAAAAGGAGCGTGTTATAGAAAGGAGGGCAGATTGGGGGAGTAGGTGGTCAGAAGCAAAACACTTTTGAGGAGGGACAGGTTAAAAGGAGAGGGAGAATAGAATAAATTAGGGTGGAATTGGATGTATGGAAATATAGTCAGAAAAAAAATTTTGAAGCAAGTTTCTCTGATAAAGGCCTCATTTCTCAAACATGTAAAAAACTGAGTCAAATTTATAAAAATAAGAGCCATCCCCCAATTGATAAATGATTGAAAGATATGAACAGTTTTCAGATGAAGTAATCAAAGCTACCTATAGCCATATGAAAAAATACTCTCACTATTGACTGGAGGAATACAAATTAAAATATTTCTGAGGCGCTACCTCATACCTATTAGATTGGCTAATAGGACAGAAAAGGAAAATAACAAATAGTGGAGGCATGTGGGAAAAATGAGACATTCATGCATTGTTGGTGTAGTTGTGAACTGATTCAGCCATTCTGTAGAGCAATTTGGAACTATGCCCAAAGGGCAATAAAACCATGCATACCCTTTGACCTAGCAATACCACTCCTAGGTCTATATCCCAAAAGAGATAAAAAAGAGAAAGGAAAAGGACATATATGTACAAAAATGTTTATAACAGCTCTTTCCCGGTGGCAAGGAATTGGAAATTGAGGAGATGCCTATCAATTGTGGAACGGCTGAAAAAATTGTGGTGTGTGATTGTGATGGAATACTATTGTGCTATAAGAAATGATAAACGGGCTGAGTTCAGAAAAACCTGGAAAGACTTACATGAGCTGATGCAAAGTGAATTGTACTATGTAGAAAGTAACAGCAATATTGTAAGATGATCAGCTGTGAATAACTTAGCTGTTCTCAGCAATACAATGATCCAAGACTATTCTGAAGAAATTATGATGAAAAAATGCTATCCATCCCCATAGAGAGAACTGGTGGTATCTGAATACAGATTGAAGCATACTTTTTAAACTTACTTTATTTTTCTTGAGGGTTTTTTTTTGGGGGGGGCTCTTTCACAACATGACTATTATGGAAATGTTTTGTATGACTACACATATATAACCTATATCGAATTGCTTGCCTTCTCAGTGAAGGGAGATGGGGAGGGTGGAAGGGAGAGAATTTGGAGCTTAAAGTTTTAAAAACAAATGTTATGAGTTGTTTTTACATGTAACTGGGGAAAAATGAAATACTGAATAAAAAAATTAAATGGATTTTAAACCATGCACTTATGTTACTACTATAAATATTAAAGTTGCCATCAGTTTAAAAAAAATAATTTTAAGTTCTTCCAAGGGGATATGATAAGGGGCAAGGTGTTTACTCCTTTCCTGGCCTGTGCTCTAGTCTATGAGTGACCACAAGCACTCTTTTCTGCCTTGGAACTGTGAGGAGTATTTCCTCTTTACCATGCCAGCGCTCCTCCTCACCCCAGGACTGCCACCCAGAATTGTGACCCAGATCCAAGCACAGGCAAAGCAAGAGAATCCTGCACCAGCATAGAGATCCCTGCAATGCCCCTCTGATCAGCCACTTGATTCCCCATCAGTCTGTGGGCCAGAAGCTCCAGAAGCAACTGCCGCCCCAGGGCCAAGCTTGGGGACTAGGGCTGGGACCTCGCTTCCTTCTCTCTCTCTCACTGCAGTCACAGAATTTTCCCATTGACCTCATAAGTTGTGTTTGGTGTTTGTGGGTTGAGAAGTCTGGAAACTGCCACAGCTACCTGCAGTTCAGTCCTCTGAGGCCTGCTCCAGGTTTGTTGAGGCCTGCTTTGCCTGCGCACCCACGCCGAACTGTGCTCCTCTCCCTGGTAGATGCAGTAAACCTTTCTGATCAACCATCCAGCTGTCTTGGGCTGTAAATTTGTTTTATGCTGTCTTTTTGTGGATGTTGCTGCTTTAGAATTTGTTTAGAGCCATTTTTTATGGATATTTGGAGGAGTTTGGGGGAGAGCTCAAGCAAGTCACTGCTTTTACTCCACCATCTTGGCTCCACCCCTAACCTTGCTGGTATGTGAAAAGAGCACAATTTATTTGGTCACTTGAGTATTCCTTGGCCTTGCCTTTTTTAGAATTGGGATGTAAACTGATCTTTTCCAAGTGGAGTTTTCCAAATTTGCTGGCATATTGACTGCCACACTTTAACAGTATCCTCTTTTCAGATTTTAAATAGCTCAGCTGGAATTCTGTCACCTCCACTACCCTTTATGTTAGCAATGCTTCCCAAGCCCCCTTTGACTTCATTCTGCAGAATGTCTGGTTCTAACTCAAGCCTATATGCCCAATATGGTCCTAGAGGACCTAGAACCAGCCTGGAGTGCAGATGCACTGGGATGTCCTCCGGCTGACATTGTTGGTTTAGTATAGGTACATACCTGCCTGCGTACCTACCCTTCTAGTCAGGAGCTGACCCATCTGGAGTGGTATAGGAGAGCTGTGTTACAGTGCTTAAAATGCTCTTACCAATGGTTTTCGTTAGCTTTTATCAGAATAATTTGTCAGGCAGCAAGCATTGTTAAAGGAGTAACTATGTGCTAGACACTGTGCTAAGCTATGGAAATACAAAGAATAGCAAACAACAACAACAACAACAGAGAAACCACAACCGACAAAGCAAAGTGAAAAAGCCAGGTCCTGCCCTCAGAAATACAACATGTAAATAACTGGGCACATATGTCATGGATAAAGATAGCACAGAAGGGGCAGCATTTGCAGCTCAAGGGTGGATTGGAGGGGAGACCAGGAAAGACCGCTTGCGACAAGTGGATTTTGAGCTGAGTCTGGAAGTCAGGCAGAATTAGAGGCAGAGGTGAATGAGCGTTTGTAGTGTTTTGAATTCTTTGATAAATGTCAGTAAAGTTAGAAATGAGAGGTCCTAGAAAGTAAGAGAGATTCACATTTTTATAAGGAAAAGACAGAATATTTTTTTCCCCAGAAAACTTGGTTTTATTGGTTATAGTTGATCATTTAGCAGTGTGGTGGCTCAGTCAGTTGTATTTTAAGTTAAATTCTCAGCAGTTTAAGGAAAGAACTTGTTTTGTTTTTTCCTCACACAAGATTCAGAGACATTCTTTGGACTCCCTTGAGTAATTTAATTCAGCAGCTGTTTATTAAACACTTGCTGGGTATAGGCACTAGTGATTTTAAAAAAATGAAACGATCTTTGCTCTCAGGGAATTTACATTCAATACTAAAGGGGATATAATATGTACCCAGACAGGTGAATAAAAATTAAATCAAAGAGCTAAGAGGGTACCATTAGTGGAAGGAGTCAAGCAGAGTTTCATTGTAAAGATGTGAGTACGTTCATGATGCAGAGATGACCTGTTCAGTTTATCTGTGTCAGAGATGGACAGTCAGACTCAAAATGGCCCCATAAAGTTAGTTCTCTTAGAAGACTCTGAGCTAAGAGAATAAATCTATATGAATGAATGAAGCTGGGTGTCAGAATCCCAGAAAGTGACAAGTATTTGTAAAATTAAATTTGATTACATCATATTGCAAAAGGGAAGTCTTATTCATCTTCTCTTTATTTTCTCTTTAGTGCATCATGTTTGGGCAGAAGTGGAACCTGAAGAATGCCCAGAAGACATAAAGTACCTACACCTCAGAAATGTGGATTAAAAGATTTGGAAAGGAAGTAAAAGGGAAAAAAAGCAAGACAGAAATTAGAAATCTATGTCATTCTGCATTAAAAACCAACCAAAGGAATGTTACTGTTTTCTGTTGTTGCTGTGGCCTAATAGTGAAAGTGAGTCATATCATTTCTCATTGTATTCTGCCTTTGGTTTATCCTGGCTTCTGAACGAGAGGCAAGCGTTTCAAATACATATGTAGCAACAGAGCATATAATTAAAATTACTTGGTTTCAGATTTTTTTTGGCTTGCATTTTGAAAGAGGCAGTCCTCTATCATTTAAAAGTGGATACTCATTGCATCTTCTGTTGTGTTTATGTTACTGTTGTGTACATTCTGTTCATGCTCTACACAACACTGGGGTAGTATGTAACTTTTGTGTCAGTGTTAAGGTACAAAAAAGAACAATTATCATTGACAATTTACTGTGTGAGCCTTGTGTATCTTTTAAACTTTCTCTTTTTTCTAAAAAAAAAAGTAAAAAAACAACAAACCACTTTGTTATTAAAAAAATTCTGCTACTTTTCTGTCTAATAGTATTTTTTCTACATAATGCATTGATTTTTTTTTTTACAAAAGATACAACTGAATGTGAAATGATATTTTGCCAGAAGTATCTTGCAGTATTTTAACTTCTCTTATATACAGGGTTATCTTATATAAAGGGTTCCCCCATCCCTCTTTTTTTTTTGTAAATTTTTAAATTTTAAACTTAAATACAAAATAAGAAAAAAAAGAAACAAACTTAAATATAAAACTTAAATACAAAATAAAAAAAACATTGCAATGTGCACAGCAGAACATAAGAGAAAATTCAAAATATAAAGCAATAAATTTCCGTTTCAAGAAAGCCTATATAATAAATACTACCCATTGTGTTCAGAGCCGTCCATGTTTTCTTTACTTCCCTGTAGGTTCTATTTTGTTCTCTGCTGTGCATTTTTTACTTTGTTCTCTCCCTTATCCCCTCTGAGAAGGCTACAATTAAGCAAACATGCACGTGTGTACACATACGTACATACACCCTTATATACATAAACATATATAGACATACATATATATACATCGATATCTACAATCACATACATATATACACACATACATTCATATGCATCTGTTTGTAAGACCATGCTGTACTTGTTTCTGCTCTGTTTCTCTGAGGGTAGATAACATCTTCCTTCATAAAGTCCAAGTCTTTCCATATTTTTCTAAATCCACCAAATCATCATTTCCTATACCACAGCAATATTCCAACTTTATATTGTCTAGTTATTTTAAATAGTCTAAAACAATATTGATTAATATGCCTGACATAGAGTTTCCCTCTTTTTCTCTTTTGATTAGATCTACTTTAGCTTTAATGTTGTCTGAGATCGTGATTACTACCTCTGCTTTTTTCCCCTAATAAATTCTACTCCTGATCTTTATTTTATGTTTCTTTGTATCTCTTATTTCCTATCCCTCCTGACTCCTCTGTTTTACTTCTACCTGCTACCTTGCCCTCCTGTTACTTAACCTCTCCTCCCCTCCAAGGATCCCTCCTTTATCCTCTCCTTCTCACTCTTTCCCCTTTCCCTCTTGTTTCTATCTGAATTTAGAAGACTTTTATAGCCTTCCAAATAAATGTGTTCCCTCTTTACCCCATTCCCATTAATCTAGACACCTTTCTGTGCCCCTTCCCCTTATCCTATTCTCTCACCCTCTTATTTCTTTCTTTATATATATAGAAGACTTTTAATCGCTTCTAAATGTGTATATTGTTCTGTCTTTAACCAAGATCTGGTGTGAGTGGGGTTCCCTCTGAAAATCCTTCCCTCTTCTCTATCCCTTTAGCCTTTTATTTCTTTCTGAATTAGGAGACTTTTATACCCTTCTAGACATGTATGTATTGTGTCCTTTTTAACCCATTCCTGATGAGAGGAGGGTTCCAGAACTACCAGCCCTCCTCCGCCAAGTGTTGGTTCTTCCTTTCGCACCTCATTTGTAAGGGATAATTACTCTTCTTACCTTTTCCTAGACGGTATTACTTTTTAGAATCATATGTTCAGCTCTACTCCAATCTTTCTTTCAAACTACCTACTTACTAATTGCTGTCTTAGACATACAGTTTATATTTTCTCATATAAAAAGTAAATGTTTCTCTGTATTGAATCCCTTGTAATTAGTCATTGATAGTTACCTTATATTTCTCTTTGATCTTGTGTGTCAAATTTTCTATTAAGTTAGGGCCTTTTTGCAGTGAAATTCAAAAAGTATGGTAGTTCATTAAATGCCCCCCCCTTTTTTTTGCTCAAGATTATGCTTAACTTTACTGGGTGTGATATTTTTGCTCTCAACCCCAGTTCTTTTGCTCTTTGATATGTAGTGTTCTAAGACCTGTGGTCTTTTAGTGTAGCCACTGCTTGGTATTGTATGATTCTAATTGTGGCCCTGCCATGTTTGAATTATTTTTTTCCTTGTTTCTTGTAATATTTTCTGCTTGAGCTGGGGGTTTTAGAATTGAGCTATGATATTCCTGTAAGTTTTCCTTGTAGGATCTCTTTCAGGTAGTGAGTGGTGTATTGTTTCTCTTTCTACTTTCCTTTGTTCTTCTAACATTTCAGGACAATTTATTTGATTATTTCTTGTATTATTGTATCAAGATTCTTTTTTTTTTGATAGTAGCTTTCTGGTAGTCAGATTATTCTTATGTTTTCTCTTGATCTATTCTCCAGATCAGTTGTTTTTCTCATGAGATGTTTCACATTTTCTTCTATTTTTTTCATTTTTTATATTTTGTTTTATTATTTCTTGGTCTCATAACTTCACTGACTTCCCCTTGCCCAATTCTAATTTTCAAGGAGTCGTTTTCATTCTTAAGATTCCAGATCTCCTTTTCCAGTTGGTTAATTTTCTTTTCATAATATTCTTGTTTTTCTTGGGTTGTGTTTTCAAAAAAATTTTTCCTCAGTCTCTCTCATTTGACTTTTAAAGTCTTTTAAAAGTTCTTCTATGAATTCTTTTTGGACAGGTGGCCATTTGACATTTCTCTTTGGGGTAAGAGAGGCCTTTTTTTTGCTTCAGTGTCCTCCTCTAAAGATGAACCCCAGTCTTCTCTGTTCCCATAGTAACTTTCTATGGTTGAGTTCTTTCTCCTTTGCCTGCTCATTTTTTTTTAGTAGGAACTTGTTGTAATCACCTGTAGTCCTGGGGTATGGGGGATGGTGCCTCTGGCCTTAGGTCCTCCTTCAGTTCTCCCCTCTGGCCAGAAACCAAGAACTCCACCCTCCTGTAAGTGTCCACAGCTAGTGGTGTCCCCACTCCCTTGCTTCTGCACTCACCAGGTATGTGCTGGTTCCTTCTTGCCCTGGACTGCATCTGGGCAGTGCAGCTGGGCTTGGCATCTCTTATCGGCGGAGGTTCCCCCTCAGATGCCCAACTCCCCACACTGTCAGGGAGGTGAAAATTCCTGTGGCTGGGGCTCAGGCTACCTCCCAACCCAGCTAGCCCCAGGGCTTGCTGTTTTCTGTTTCAGCAAAGCTAGCTTGGAGGTGTTTACTCTTCACTGGGATCAAATCTCAGTTGAGATTTTTCTTCAATCTCTGGTTGTCCTGGGAGAACCACTGTACTGCCCCAACTGTTGTTTATTTTTACTGCTCTACATTTGCCTTGAGGTGCTATTTTGTTTTGTTTCTGGGGAAAATCGGGAGAGCGTGGAATTTTCTGACCTACTCTGCCATCTTCCCAGAATCCTCTCCCTCTTCCCCTCTTCTTTACTTCCTCCTTCTCTTCCTCTGGTGGGATCGCATTTAAAGTGAAGTTAACTCATCTGCCATCATTTGCATTTAGTAATGTTTTAGTTAGAAGTGAGACAGAAATATTTAGGGGAAGAGAAAAGGTGAATAAGTTGGGAAGAAATTTTGTTGGGTGTGATGTTTCACACCTAGGATCTCAAGCTACCAGGGAGGCTTGAGCTGGTGGATCCTCTTGGGTTTGGGTGTTCTGATTTGCAGTGACTGGGTTAGTACAATCAGTCATCTGCACTAAGTTGAGCATCAGTATGGTGAGCCCTCAGGAACAAAAGGCCATCTTGGTTTTTCTAAGGAGAGGGGAACCAGGTAAAGTTGGAAATGGAGTAGGTCAGAAGGTCCTGGTACGTAGACAGACAGACTTTGTTTCAAAATTAACAGATGACATAGAGAGCAGAAAGCGAAAACTTAGAAATGCTGAGGCATCTCTCTGTAGCTCGTTATTAGGCAGTGTTAGGAAGCTTACAACAGGTTGTTCTTCACAGATTCTCATTTTTCTGGGAGGTGTGTGGTTTCCCATTTATGTAAGTAAGTGTCATAATTCCCATAAGAATTAAGGAAATACTAAATCCTTAGAAAGTTGCTTCTCAGTCAAAGGCTCATGCATTGTATCCTGTCTTTAAATATTTACTCTGGGCCTAGAGAAGGTCCACATCTTATTTGGTATTTGTGTAATAACCTGAACTGGGTCTATACAAGATCATTAACTCAGTTCTGGGTACCTGTTATTTAGGGTGACAAACTTGGAGTTGGGAAGACTTGAGTTCAAATCCTGCTGCAGATGCTTGTTATCAGTATGACTGGGCAAGTGCTCTCAACTCTTTCCTCCTCTGTAAGGTGGTGATAATAGTAGTACCTGCCTCCAGAGTTTGTTGTGAGATCAAATGAGATAACATGTAAAGTGCTTTGCAAACCTATAAGCACTTTATGAAGTTTAGCTATTATTATTGTCTAATCCAGTTATCTGTGGAATCAAAGTTTTTATTTTAAATTAAGTGTGAAAAAATTCCAAATTTAACAAAAATGCATTGTTTTTTTATTTTTAAATTGGGTGACCAAGAAAGTTTTTCTAATTTGCTTTATTCTGAACTAACTTAGTAAAAATCTATTGGTTTAAACATTGGGCTTATAAACCTATGGGGAGACCACTACTTTGCAGGGAAGAATACTAATTAGTTTTAGTAGCTCTGAGATGTGATCAAACACTGGTCTTTGACACTCATAACTCTGAGCTGAATCACAGTCACAGAATTTCATGACAGGAGAGACCCTCAGTGGCCATCTGGTTCAACTGTCACCTGAATTATTATATTCCTTTTTATTATATCCAACAATAGCCATCCACCCTTGGCTTGAAGATGCTTAGTGAGGGGAACCCTCTGCCTCCTACAACAGCCTATACTACTTTTCTATCACTCTAGTTATTACAGTATTTTTCTTTACGGCAAACCTATGCTCCTAGTTCTGTTTTCTGGTGCCAAGCTGAACAAGGTAAATCCTTCTTCCATGTGATAGGCTTCAAATACTTCGTCATAGCTAGCTATTATGCCTCCTCAAGTTTTCTTTGAGAGGCAGTGTTCCAAAGTGGTTAGAGAACTGGCCTCAGGAAGACCTGGAATCAGATCGTGCCTCTGACATACTGGCTATTTGACTGTGGGCAAGTCAGTTAACCACTCATTGCTCCTGCCCCCACAACTTCCACCCCCGATTTTCTAAGACTAAGTTTCAAGGAAGGTACAGATCTGCCCTCTGCCTGAAGAAGTCACAGCTCCAGTAAAACCAAACGAAAAAATTGTCTTCCCCAATCTAAACAACCACACCCACCTCTTTCAACTGATTGATTGTCATTTGGTATAACCTTAGAGCCTTTCTCCATTTTAGTTTACCTTCTATGGACACTCTTAAATGTGGTATCAAGAATTGAACTGTATTCCAGTTGATCTGACCAGGGCTGAGTGCAGCATGTACCATCACCTTCTTATTCCTGGACTGTATGCCTCTCAGTGGAGGCTAAGATCACATTAGCTTTGCTGGCTGCCATATTAGTGTTGACTTGCACTGATCTTCCAGTCTTTGAGGACATCTAGATCTTTTTCAGACAAACTAGTGTTTGACCATGCCTCTCTCATTTTGTTTGTGAAGTCCATTTTTTTATTGAAATGTAAAACTCTGTTTATGTCTTATACAATTTCATTTTATACAATTAGATCCATTGTTGTAGTTTATCAAAGAAGCACCTTTTGAAGAGGTGAGCTAAACCGGAGGTGTCAACCCATGTGGTCTGTGGGCCATATGAGGCCCCCAACATTGCCAAGTGCAGCCCTAGATTAAAATGTAATTGGGAAATATTTAACCAAATAAAGTACAATAAAACAGATATTACATTTTAAAACTGTGGCCCTTAGAGATCTTAATATACAAATTAATGGCCCCTAAACCCATTTCTATTTGAATTTGACACCATTTATTTAGACAATGTTTTGCCAATTAAGTTCAAATTCACTTCAAAGTGATGTGAGTGCTATAGGACTCAGCTGTAGCAATCCCACAGTGTGGGTGCTCTTTCCCGTTTATGCTTCAGTTTTTCGACGTCCTTTCCAGGGTAGAACTTTTTCAGAGATATCATCATCAGTTAAGATTTGATAGTCAGATACAATATGGTCTTCATAAGTCTGTTCTAATGGGAAACAAAGACAGCATAGTTAGGAAAGTTACCAAATTTAGGAAATACCAGGACAATGGAAAGAGATTAATAGGAAGGCAATACTTTATGACCTCTTCTTTCTTTGATGCTATTGTCTCCCTGTGTATTTTGAATTTTACCTGGAATAATAATACATTTTTTTATTAGTCTGTGCAAAATATCTTGCCTGCCTTCCCTCATGACATATGTTTCCAAGATAATTGATAGAGATAAATAAATGAATAACAGAATGACCACGAAACAGAGCAAACCTTACTTTCTCATGTGAAGATAAAATGTCTCTGTGATGCATGTCTTTTCAATATAAGAACAGCTAAGAAAGAAGCATTCTGAAGAATAGAAAATGGTCCATAGAACTTAAGGACAAGCTAAAACTGTGGAAAAGGGTGAAAGGAAAACCAGAAGTTCTCCCTGGAATACATGGTCTTGATAAAGTTACTGATTTAGCTTCCTCATCCATTTGAGCTATAGGTTGTTTTCAACTGTTCAGTATAGGATCAAGGACTAAAATTACATATTGTATACAACTCTACTTTGTAAAATATAAAGCATCAGCCTTTTTTTTTTTTTGGTCTCACCCAACATGTCTGAATGCTTTCTGCTTATTTCTAAAACTCACTCTTTATTGTCTACTAAAATCCTTTGAATGAAGATGGGAGTTTTGAAGCATACCATATATAGCTCTTTGTAGGCCTTGGCAGACCTGAAACCTACCACTTTAAACAGAGCAATAACAGATAACACTAGCTGAAAGGATTCATTTAATCTTCCTTATGCTGGTTTACTTTTTAGTAAACTTTACTTTTTAGTAGTTAAAGCCCTTGCCACCATTTAAATTATAAACCATATAAAGTCATCTCTTGGGACTAGAAACTCCACCTTATATTCATCTGATTGGTAGATCCTAGAGAAAAAAGTAAATTCTCTCTACTAAGTTATAGCTATAAGACTTATGACTTTGCACAGCTCTGCCTCACTTAAATCCAATTCATGTTGAAGTGAAGATATCACCCATGATGCCTTTAGTCCTTTTTGAAAATAGATGAATAACAGCTCTCTTGATGTTCAGATTTTTTTGATGGTTGTGAAAAGAATTTTTCTACAAAAAAGCTCTACTCTGAGGCTTAATCATAGAATGGAGGTGACCTTAAATTCTCAAAGTTTATCTCAGCAGAATGCAAACTGTAGTATGCCCTTCCAAGTCAGAAAGGCTTCAAGTGTGGCCATGGTGATGGACTGCATTTTTTGTTTAAGGACTTAGGATTAAATGCAGAGATGCTCATCACCCTCTGGTGATGGTAGCCACCAGGTGATGAATGCTTGGGTCACAGCAACTCATGAAGACCATCTACTAAAGCACTACAAGGTTGAGATTTACATTATTGGAGGAAACTCAATTCTTGGGTTGAAATATATAATATTTGAAATATTGCAAAACTTGAAATATTTAAGTGTAAAGAATTAATAAACTAAATAGGTATAGCTCCACTATATACTATCTCTGCTCCTTTTTCTATACGGTAAAGTGCTACTTAAAGGAAATTATAAAACTTTATTAAAGAGGTCCGTCAACTAGCATTTATTAAGTGGCTACTATGTGCCAGGCCCTATTGCTAACTACTGGGGATGCAAAGAAAGACAAAAGACAGTCTCTTCTCTCAAGAAGCTCACCATCTAATGGATCTACTACAAACTTATTCAAAGGCCCCAACAGGGCCTTCATTGCTGCACAGCATTCCTCTTATTCTCTTACTGACTGCCTATTACATGTTCTGTATCAGCTGTGCCAAACCTTGATTCTCCTTAAGTCCCTAATTATGTTTCACCCTTCTCTCAGTGGGTAACCTTTTTTGAATTATTGAGAAAAGGAGCCATAAAGTCTCATTTCACCTAAAGCTTAACCCCCCATTTTATCCTGTATATACCTTGATTGTACATAGTGTTTACATGTTATCTTCCCCATTTCGCCATGAGCTTCTTGAGGGTAGGAACCTTTAAAAAAAAAATATTTGTATACCCAGTGCTTAGCACAACGTCTGGCATGCAGTAGACATTTAATAAATACTTGTTGACTGCTAATGGACTCAATCTTTATCCTTGACTTTTATGAAGCATTTAACACTCTAGATCACATCTTCCTTTTTGAAAGTCTACTCCCGGGAGCCAAAATGGCAGAGTAAAGGCAGGGGCTCACCTGATTTCTCCCCTTAATGCCTTCAAATACCTTTAAAAAAAGACTCTAAGAAAATTTTAGAGTAGCAAGACCCATAAAAATATGCGATGAAACAAATTTCCAGCCCAAACAACTTAGAAGGTTGGCAGGAAAGGTCTCTTGCACCAGGGTGAGAGAGGAGCATGGTCTAGCACAGGCTGCACTAGCACAGACCAGGCCCCAGCAAACCTGGAGCAGGCTTTGGGGTGACTGAATCACTGGCAGTAGTGGTGGTTTCCAGATCTCTCAGCCCACAGACACCAAAGAGAAGGACTGTTGCAGCAGAGTGAGAGTGGAGCACAGTCCAGTGCAGGTTGTGATAGCATAGCCTGGGCCTCAGGAAACCAGGAGCAGGTGTTGGGAGACACTGAAATAGCAGTGGCTGCAGTAATGGCTGCTTCCGGAGCTCTCAGTTAAATAACTGGTCAGAAGGAGATTACAGGGGTGTTTTGCTATCAGGACTCTGTTGCTTTGCCCATACCAGATCTGGGTCACAGTCCTGGGTGGCAGTCCTAGGGCAAGGAGGAGCATTAGCACACCAGAGTTTGCAGCTGCAGTGGAGTGGAACCTTCCGCACATATCCAGGGCAGAAAAGAGTGCTTGTGGTCATACATAGACCAGAGCACAGGCCAGGAAAGGAGTAAACACCTCTCCTTTGATCATAAGAACTGAAAACTTACAGGTCCCCAGAAGTGTCTCTGAAAACAGCTGCACAAAATCCCTAAAGTTTGGGACAGTGCACTCTCTACCCTGGAAGCAGAGCCCTCTTTAGCAAAAAGTTAAAAGTCAGGTAATAGGCTGGGAAAATGAGGAGGAGCTCAAAAAGTATTTTGAAAGTCAAATAAGAGCCGTAGAGGACAAATTGGGAAGAGAAATGAGAGCGATGCAAGAAAATCATGAGAAAAGAGTCAACAGCCTGGTAAAGGAGACCAAAAAAAAAAAATACTGAAGAAAATAACATCTTAAAAAACAGACTAGGCCACATGATAAAAGAGGTCCAAAAAGCCAATGAGGAGAAGAATGCTTTAAAAAGCAGAATTTGCCAAATGGAAAGAAAAAAGAGGCACAAAAGTTAAGTGAAGAAAATAATTAAAAATTAGAATGGAGCAAATGGAAACTAGTAACTTTATGAGAAATCAAGAAACAATAAAACAAAACCGAAAGAATGAAAAAAAAAAAAGAAGACAATGTGAAATATCTCGTTGAAAAAGCAACTGACCTGGAAAATACATCCAGGAGAGATAATTTAAAAGTTATTGGACTACCTGAAAGCCATGATCAAAAAAAGAGCCTAGACATCATCTTTCAAAAAATTATAAAGGAAAACTGCCCTGATATTTTAGAACCAGGGGGGTAAAATAGAAATTAAAAGAGATCTCAAAATAAATAAATATAAAATAAATAAAATTTAAATTAAATAAAAACTGCCAGGTGTATTATAGCCAAATTGCAGAGTTCCCAAGTCAAGGAGAAAATATTGGAAACAGAAAGAAACAATTCAAGTATGGTGGAGCCACTACCAGGATAACACAAGATTTAGCAGTTTCTACATTAAAGGACAGAGGGCTTGGAATATGATTTTCTGGAGGGGAAAGGAACTGAGATTACAGCCAAAAATCACCTGCCCAGCAAAACTGAGTATAAACCTTCAGAGGAAAAAATGGATATTCAATGAAATAGAGGACTTTCAAGCATTCTTGATGAAAAGACCAGAGCTGAATACAAAATTTGACTTTCAAATACAAGACTCAAGAGAAGCATGAAAAGGTAAACAGGAAAGGGAAATCATAAGGGACTTAACAAGTTTAATCTGTTTACATTCCTACGTGGGAGGATATTTGTAACTCATAAGACCTTTCTCATTATTAAGGAGTTAGGAGTATATTTGGATACAGGTGTGAATTGAATATAAATGGATGACATCCAAAAAATAAAATTATATGTATATAGAATGAGATGTGAGTTGAATATGAATGGATGATATCTAAAAAATAAAATTAAGGGGAGATAGAAGAATGTACTGGGAGAGGTAGAATGGGGTAAATTATCTCACATAAAAGAGGAAAGAAAAAGCTTTTATAGTGTAGGGGAAGATGGGGGAGGTGAGGAGGAGTGAATGCATCTTACTGTCATCAGAACTGGCTAAAAAAGAGAATAACATACACACTCAATTGGGTATAGGAATCTGTCTTGCCCTACCTGAAAGTAAGAGGGGAAAGGGATAAGAGAAGGGGTGTGTGTGTGTGTGTGTGTGTGTGTGTGTGTGTGTGTGTGTGTGTGATAAAAGGGAGGGTAGATTGGAGGAGGAGGTAGGCAGAAGTAAAATACTTTTGAGGAGGGACAGGATAAAAAGAACATAATAAATGAGGGGGATAGGATAGAGGGAAATGCAGTTAGCAATAGCAACTGAAAAAAAATTTGAAGCAAGTTTCTCTGAAAGGCCTCATTGTAGGAATGAAAATTAAAATATTTCTGAGGTACTACTTCATACTTATTAGAGTGGCTAATAGGACAGAAAAGGAAAATAAACCATCAGAGTAATTTTCTTAATGCACAGGCCACTTCTCTGCTCAAAATCTTTCAGAGCCTCCCTAATATTGACTGAATAAACTCCTTAGTTTTCACGGATCCCCATAATCTGGTGCCACCCTGTATTTACAGCTTTATTTAAGAGCAGTCCCTTTCACGCACTTGGCATTGGCCAAACTGGACTACCCCCCACTTCTTTTTTTAAAAATCATTCCACTTTCTCTTTCTTCCCTATGCATATACATATGCCCTTCCCTATGCTTCTATAAGAAGCTTACTTCAAGGAGTGTGGGAAAAATGAAGCATTAATGCATTGTTGGTGGAGTTGTGAACTGATTAAACCATTGCGTAGATCAATTTGGAAATATGCCCAAAGGGCTATAAAAACATGCATACCCTTTGACCTAGCAATACCACTACTACACTGGTATCCAAAGAGATAAAAAACAAAAAGGAAAAGGGCCTATATGTACAAAAAATATTTATAGGAGCTCTTTTATGGGGAGCAAAGAATTAGAAATTGAGGGGATGCCCATCAATTGGAGAATGGCTAAATAAGTTGTGATGTGATTATGATGGGATATTATTGTACTATAAGAATTGATGAGCAAGATGCTCTCAGAAAAACTGGAAAGATTTTCATGGGCAGATGCAAAATGAAATGTACTCTGAATAAAGTAACAGCAATATTGTAAGATGATCAGCTGTAAATGACAGCTATTCTCAGCAATACAACAATCCAAGACAACTCTGAATGACTTATGATGAAAATTGCTATCCTTCCCCAGAGAAATAACTGATGGTGTCTGAATGCAGATTGAAGCATACTTTTTAAACTTCATTTTTCTTGAGATTTTTTTTTGCCTGTATTTTCTTTTACAACATGACTATTATGGATATATTTTGCATGACTACCCATGTAAAACCTTTAAGGAATTGCTTGCCTTCTCAATGAGGGGGGTTTGAGGGAGACAGGGAGAGAATATGGAACTATAAGTTTTAAAAATAATTGTTAAAAATTGATTTCACACACTTGGCATTGGCCAAGCTGGACTACCCCCCCTTTTAAAAAATCATTCCCCTTTCTCTTTCTTCCCTATGCATATACATATGCCCTTCCCTATGCGTCTATAAGAAGCTTACTTCAAGGCTTAGTTCAGATATCATCTCCACTGGTACCGTCCTTTCCTAGTCTCCACACCTAAAAGTTTTTCTTCCCTCTTGGAAGCTCTCATACTACTCTGTTTGACTTCTCCACTTATATTTTAAAATTGTATTTTAGTCCTTTGTATACTTGTCTTATCCCTCTCATACTAGGTTGTAAATTACTTTAGGGTAATTTTTCATTTTCTGTCTTTGTATCCTTAGTGTCTAGTAAAGTACCTTGCATGTCCTGGAAAATTAATTGATTCAGAACAAATGTTGCAAGTCTTTAGCTTTTAAATGATGATGTACCTTTGAAACAATGCAGTTAGGTAGCATGCAAAACCAGATGACCTTTTTGTTAAACTACTGAATTCACTCTATTTCTACCCTGTTCAAACCTCATCAAGAATACTGTATTCTGTTGTGGATATCACTGTTCAGGAAGGACATTGATAATATGCTGAGAGTTTCTAAGGAAAGGCAACCAGAATTGTAAAGGAATATAAGATTATGCCATGTGAGGATTGGTTGAAATAATGGGCTGTTAAGTCTGAAGAAGAGAATGAAAGAGGGTCATACGGTAGCTATCCTCAGTTGTTTGAAGTAGTGTCATTTGGAAGAGAGAGTTGACTTGTTCTGCTTGGCATCAGAGGTCAAAGGGCAAATTTTGGCTGGATGGGACTGGATAGGAAATGGGCTTTAAGCAAAAGCTGATTGGCTGTGTATTTGTTGTTCATTTATTTTAAGTCATTTCCAATTCTTTGTGACCCCATTTTGGGGTTTTCTTGGTAAGAAAGATTTGCCATTTCCTTCTCCAGCTCATTTTGCAGATGAGGAACTGAAGTACAAAGGGTAAAGTGACTTGCCCAGGTTCACACAGTAAGTGTTTAAGGTGGGATTTGAACTCATAAAGATGAGTCTTCCTGATTCCAAGCTCAGTGCTGTATCCACTGTGCCATCCAGGTACTCTGACTACATACAGCTATACACAATTCTTGTTCAGCTATGGGTTGGAATAGTCTCTGAAGTTCCTTTTGTTTCTGAGATTCTGTGCATACGTGAAATTTACCAGTAGTACCACTGACATATATTGTTATTGTTATTTTAAAGCAGACTAAAGCCACATCATTTCAGGTGACAGAGAACACCTCCAGAATTAAATGTCCTCTTATTAAATGAGGAATGTTACCCCTCATAGTAGAAATGATTTTTTTTTTTTACCATTAACTTAAGTAAAGATGCTGGTGCACTGGCAGCCATAGAAAAAAATTAAAATTTATAATTTATTTTTTTTTTTAATTTTGAACTTATCCAACAGATTATTTGAGCATTTCCATGTACAAGGCAAAACTGAAAAAGAGGTCAGTACATGAAGTCGCAAACCCAGGTAATGAATGTCTGGCTTCCTCTTCAGTATATGATAAATTTAACATGTTATCTCCAAAGTAGTTCTAGTGGTATTTTCTAACAATTCTTCCTCCAATTCTGTTCTTCTTTTAAAAATGCTTAATGACTCTCTTTTCTTACTTTTGTTTTATTTATTTATTTATTTTTCACATTTTGGTAACCCTATCACTACTCCCTCTTCTTTCCTAAAAAAACTGAAAGGAAAAACATAAAACCTTCATATCAGATATGTTATAGTCAAGCAAAACAAATCACAGCATTGACCCTGTCTGGAAATGTATCTCACTGAAAATCTGAAAAGTCTGAAAATCTTTCTGCACTTTGAGTCATCATCCATCCAGGAGAAGAGTACTGGTTTTCAACATTGGTCCTTTGGAATTATGGTTGGTCATGTTGATCCGAGCTCTTAAGTCTTTTGAAATGGTTTTGCTTTAAATATTATTATTGAATAGATTGTTCTCCAGATTCTGTGTACTTCTTTTTGAGTTGGTTCATACAAATCCCTTGGGTTTCTCTGAAACCATCCTTTTCATAATTTCTTATGGCATGGTGATATGTCAATAGACAACCCCTTAGTTTCTAGTTCTTTACTACTACCAAAAAGAAGCTGCTATAAAAATCTTTTCAATCAGGGGTTCTTTTCTTCTCTCTTCTTCTTAGGGAGATTTGCTTAGTAGTTGTGTATTGCTAGACAAAAGGTATTCTCATTTTGATGACTTTTCAGGCACAATAATTGCTTTAGAGAATATCTGGACCAATTCACAACTGCATCAAGTATGCCTGTTTTCTTGAAGCTCCTTCATCACGTGATTTCCTTTTTATTAAACATTTATTTATTTTGATTTTTAGATTTGATTACAGTATTTCATAACTGTCTCTTACTAATGATATGATGGAAAAAGAACTAGATTTGGAGTCAGAATCCTGGTTCTGAGTCCCAGCTCTGCTGCTTAATACTTTGGGGATGACTTTGGGTAAAGTACTTTCCTGTCTTTGAGCCCCAACTCCCTCATCTGCAAAATTAAGGGATTGTATTACAGTATTGTTAAGCCCACTTCCCACTCTAAAATCCTTAAATCTTACCTTCTCAATGGGTATGAGTATTTTCAGAGGAACAATCACCAGTTAGTTGAAGTGTTTGGTGTGTTCATGCATCAAAGGATTCAACTTAGAGCTTCATTCAGAATTTGTTTCAGATAAACTTATTCAAATGGGAGTTTTGACATAATTTTTCAAGTCTTCCTTTGAATTTCCAATATTGTGCTTTGTAACCCTTAGTATTCCATGTGGATAATTGACATTCAGCACTTAGCACAGTGCCTGCCATAAAACAAGTGCTTAATAAATGTTTATTGACTGATTCATAGATTTCAGTATTTGCAGATAATGTCTTTGCCCCTCAGAAAAGTAAGCTAGGTAATAATAATGATAACAACTTCCATTTATCCTTTAGGTGGTACTTTATGAGGATTCTCATTCAATTTTCAACCTAACCTTTTAAATTACCCTCATTTTATTGATAAGGTAGCTGACACTCAGAGAGTTTAAAGGTCTCATTCAAATCCTCACAACTTAATTAGAGTCAGAATTCAAAACCAGATCCTCTGACTCTTCTTCATATAGTGCTTTCACCATCATAGTACATCCTTCAAACGTGTAGTTTCACCCAGTAGTGACAAGTTTTCTTTTGCTCAAACAAGTCATGCTAGAAAGTCTATATTCATTTCTAATGTTTGTGTTTGACTTTGTATTTCTTTAAGGAGTCATACTGAGAGCAACTCCAGTGTTTCTAGGGAATACCTCTTCAAGATTTTATTTAAGTAGCATTTATTTATTTGTCTTTTCCCTATCAACTGACAATCAAGTTTTTACAATAAATTTTGTGTTATTTTGAGGTGATAATACAATTAGTACTTATAATATAACAAACACTCATTAAGAACCTAATAAGGAGGCAAAACCAAGATGGCAGAGAAGTAGCAAGAAGTGGAGTGAATTCCCTCATCAAAACTCCTCCAAACAGATCTAGAAAATGCACCGTGCTGAATCCTGTTGGAGAAGTTCATGAAAAAAGTCACAATGAACCATTTTTCTGGCCCTGAAATCAAGTCCAAAGTCAGGAAGTAGGCTGGAATAATGAGCAAAACAGAATCCTGTTACAAAAAGCTATTATGGTAACAGGGAAGCTGAAAACAAACTTGGAAGAAGAGAATGACTCCAAAACATTTACATGCAAAACCTCAAAGAAAAATACAGCTTGGGCACAAGGTCAACTAGAATTCCTGGAAGAGATGAATCAAGAGTTAAACAAAAGGTTAAAAAATGGTTTTATAATGAAGTGAATTGCTTAAGGAAAAGATCGGAAAAGAAATGAGAGCTTTGGAAGAAAAAATTGGAAAAGGAATTAACAGTTTGTTAGAAGAAATGCAATACCTTGCCCAGGCAATAAACTCTCTGAAAATTAGAGTGGACTAAATAAAAGCCAGTGATTCCATGAGACAATAAAATATATTTTAAAAAGTCAAAAGACTGCTAAAAGAGGAGAAAATGTAAAATGCCTCATAGTAAAAACAACTGACCTGGAAAACAAATGGAAGAGAAGAAAATTTAAGAATCATTGGAATACTTGAACATCATGACCAAAAAAAAATCCTATCTCTTTTTCATATGTCATATTTCAAGAAATCTTTAAAAGCTGTCCAGATCTCTTAAAACCAGAGGAAAGAGAAAGTAGAACCAGAATCCATTTGTCATGTCCTGAAAGAAACCCCAAAATAAAAACTCCCAGAAACATTATAGCCAAAATCCAGAACTTCTACTTTAAAGAAAAAATACTCCAAGTAGTCAGAGAGAATGATTTCAAGTACTGTGGCACCACAGTCAGGCTTACACATAATTTAGTAGGCACCACTATAAAGAGGTGGAGAGCTTGGAATACTCTGTTACAAAATCTAAGGGATATAGGTTTACAACCCAACAAAAATTAGTATAATTATACACAGGAAAATATGTATCTTTAAAGAAATAGAGGACTTCTGAGTAGCTTAGTGAGAAGACCAAAGCTTTGTAGAAACTTTGAAGTTTAAATGTAAGAATTAAGAAAAATATAAAAAGATAACCATGAATGAACTAACATAAGGGACAAAGCAAGGATAAATTGCTTGCATTCTAATATGGAGAGGTTATATCCCTTCTAAACTTTATCATCATTAGGGGTCATAGAGTATAAGTAGAAAAAAGGCCTCACAGCATTCTGTTACATCTTGATGATCTTAAGAGAAAGTGGGAAGAGGTGAAGAGGAATATGCTAGGGGTGAAGAGAAGGGAAAGGAAGGTTTAGGAAAAATTATCTCATAATCAGGATGGGCAAATAGACATCTATATAAATAGGAAAGTGGGAAGCAGCTGATAAACCTCACTCTTAGCTGAACTGTTCAAAGGAGGGAAGAATAAACACATATAGATTAGGCAAAGAAATACATTTCACTCAGCAGGGAGAAGGGGAAATTGGAGGATAGATTAAGAGAGGGATTAGTCCTAAGTAAAACAAACTTTAAGATGGCATAAAAATATTCATAGTTCTTTTTGAGATGACAAAGAATGGAAATTTGAGCAGATGCCCATCAATTGGGGAATGGCTGAATGTGAGTAATGCCATATAAATCTGGTGGAAAGTGATAAGGGGGATGACTTGCATGAACTGATGCAGAGTGAAGTGAACAGAATGAGAACACTTTATAGAATGACAATAATACAGTAAAGACAAACAACTTTGAAAGAATTAGGAACTTTTATGAATGCAGTGACCAACTATGATTCCTGAGGACTAATGATGAAATACATCCCCTACATTTTAATAGAGAGATGAAGTACTCAGAATGCAACATCAGACATATGGGGCTTTTTGGGACATAACCAATGCAGAAATTTATTTGATTATACATGTTTGTAACTGAGGGGGTCTTTCTTTCATTATCAGTGGAGAAGAGGGGATGTTTAGGATACGAGAGAGAGAGAAAGTAGATTTTTGCTGATTGAAAAAAATATATAATTTAAAAAATAATCTGATTACTTATACAATGTATTATGCTCTGGAAAGACAATAAAGTTTAGCAAAGACACTATTTTCTACCCTTGAGGAGCTTATGAGGAGCTCAATGAAGGGTAAGATAATTACACAACTAATGCAAAATATTCCATTACAATAATAAATATTTATTAGAGTTTTAAGACATACAAAAACACTTTGTACCTGTTAATATCACTTGGTCTTTACAACAATCTATGAATTAGATACTACCAAAATGCATTGGAGAGTTTCAAAACAATAAACATAAGGACTGAGAGGAAAGAGGGAAAGTCCTAGAGGAAGTACTATTTGAGTGGAACTTAATGAGTTTAACAGGGAAAGAGAAAAATGAGGGGATTCATTGCATAGGAAACAATATGATCCATAGCAAGGAGACATAGCATGTATGTAGGATGTGCACTTGTGTGTGTGTGTAGGATATGAATGGGGAAGTCAGCTTTGCATCTATCTAGAGTTGTAAGTTTTTTATTTTTGTCACATATGCATATATGTACGTGTACATATATGTGTATATGCACATGTGTATATTTACATGTATATGACACTGATTTTGATTCTCCTTTTCACCCTTGAATTAGTTTTTCATTGTGGCTTCCTTCCTAGCTTATTATTAATATCCTATCACATAAGTAGTGAGTAATTGATACACGTCTGTGATTCAGGTGGGATTGAGTGATGCTTCTGGGAAGAATCTAGAATGCATTGCTAAGGATAGTGAAATTCTTGGTTGGTGAGGCAGTCAGTAAACATTAAATATCTATTATGTGCCAGGAACTGTGCTACGTGCTGGGGATACAAATAAAAGCAAAAGACAACCCTTGTCTTCAAGGAGCTCACAGTCTAAGGGGGAAGACAACACAAAAAGAAATTGAAAAGAGGGGAGAGGGAGA